GGATTTTCCACCCGATCAGCACCAATCTCTACAACGGTTAAGTTTAGCATCTCGTCGAGTCCACCTAGAAGAGTGCAACCCGCCCTGCCGACGGGTACACAAGGTGAGGAGGAAAAAAATGCAAGCGGAATTGGAGTACCCCTTCCGTTAGTCGGTCGTCCGGGCGCCAGTAAAGAGTCGATATCGCCTCAACAAATGAGCAAACCTCACTCCACCACAATAGTGTGAACCATTCTCACACTAAAGTCCACTTGCACCGCAGTTGCAGTCCCTTACCTAAGCTAATTCAACTCGATGAAGAACAGGTGATTTCTCACGGGATCATCCTTAAGGCCCTGTAAAATATCTTGATCAACGCGTATTTACTAACAGGGTTCGCTACCATGCAGCTTGCAAGGTAGAAAATGAGCTTAGCGTAAGCGTGAACGTCACGCGACATTGTTTTATCTTTAGGGGCTCTTAACGAGTGCTAAACTCATATCTTGGGGGATTAAACGTTTGGCTGAGCAGAGTATTACAGACCGTTAGCGATCCAAACACGTTTGGATTGTGCAATTGCCGTTTCAGGGTCAAAGTTCTTGCATGCCCTGACAAATTCAATTAGGTAAAGGCAAATGCATTTCCTCATTGTCGATGTGGCGAGACTTAATGGCATCGCCCACTTCGAGAAAACATCTCAACAGGGAACTTCCTCGACTCCCCGGTACTTATAGACTTCTATCTTTAAAGTATCGCGTCGACGCTGCAGAAGCAGACTGAGACTGTTGCCGTCTCAGGAGATCAGTATGCTGGTGAGCTTATTGTTGCAGCTAGGTCACTACAGCTCGCGACGCGTCGAGTTCTTGCTGCAATTATTGAAGATTACGAAATGTTGCTGGTCCCTATCCCTCAAGGATAGCAGAGACCAGACTCCGTCTTCACCAACAGTCAAACTCATTCGTCCGATCGCACTCTGTTCGACTTCACTCAATTAAAAGTAAACTTCACGGGTGCCGAGAAAGGTGTCGTCGCCTTCATCTTACAACTTTTCATGTTGAACAGGTTTTTATAGTCCTTGCAAGGATTTCAAAATTTTACCAGGTGTAACAGGGAACCGGAGCAACACACTGGACAACCCATGTGGAGCTACTCTCACCGGAAGAAGTTTGAGTTGTGCCTCGCCGCCTCGGTCAATATGCAAAGGAAGGGAAACCAACTAGAAACTGACCAGCTGCTGGTAAAAGTAAAACTGTATCATATGTAATAAGTCGAATCATTAACCTATGTTTTAGTCTTCACTTAATTATAGTTATCTAAACGTATGCTAAGTCTTGCTCACCACTCTTTGCGCACGTCCATCGTTGATTGGACCGCCAGATCTGGCCGATATGACGAACTATCTTTATTATCCAATCGGTGGGTGTTTACAAATAGTGCCCCTCATGTTGATATTCACGAACATTATCAACCTTTATAATCATATTCTTATTAACAAGTATCAAAGGTTAATCACGTGTAACAGGCTCACCCCGTTACGATGTTGGTGTGCTGCTGCCTAAACTTCGTCATCATCTCCTCGCTTGTCACTTCTTTTGCCCACCCCTATCCCAATGTATCAATACTTAATCATTGAAACTATCGAGGAGCTCCCCGGGGAAGGCAAACTGTCGTACGAGATGAAGAAGGTTTTGAGGACCTCGTTGCACCGTGGAACTCTACCTCTGCGTTGATCTGTAAGCAGACGGAAACGGAGACGTTGCCGCTGCACATCAGATAGATTTAAGATATCACCAGACCAAAAGCCAGTCATCATGATCAAATTGGTCGTCCATAGGACCTATGCGTCTGTACTATATCTTCATCGGTGCTGTATGCAATCGAAATGGCAGGAATGGGCTCTTGTGGGCTAAACACCCGTCACTGCCGACTCAGTCACAGTTGGTTCGAGACCACGCTTATGAGGCTGATTTCTTTCAAGATCGGATCTATCCTCTGTCGGGTGTTAAACTAATTCGTTAAGAGATACGCGCGTGGGCTAGAGACGTGTAATTCCTATGGAGTCGGTGGCGTCTAACGCATTTTCCTCGTCCTACTTCGACAACGTGGCGGTCTGGCTACAACAGCCAACCGCTGACAAGTCTGTTCCAGGTGATGAAGGTGAGCATACAAGAGCTCTTAAGGTAGCCCGTGGCTATTAGGAGACCTTTCCCGGGGCTAAGTGCAGCAACGCCGCATAGTGGCTACAGTAGCACAGGAGAAACAACGGTTGCCACATCTCCGTGTTAGTTTAGCTGACTGCAACTCGTCGATACAATCCATCGAAGCAATAGAATCTCGCGAAAAGTCTACACCGACATGTGGATCTATGTTGTTACATTCGCGCAGTAGTTTCGGCGGTTGTAATTTCCCTTCCTGATCTCCCACGCGGAGGAAATTTATGTCCTGAAAGAGAATATTTTCGCCGTCCCGAGAAAATCGCCCTCCAAACCGTTTCGTCAATAGAAGAGGTGCTGTTCGATAAAGAAGAGGCGTAGTCATGTAAGAATCAGCGAAACTAGCTCGTCGGTTCTTTTGGGTGCATCTTCCTACTACCTCTTCCAATGTTGCGGAGAGCCTGAACGTGCACATTATAGGCATAATTACTTTTTTTAAATTCAAGAGACCATCAAATCAAATATCACGTTTGACACTGGTCGTAAGACGTTCAACCGCGTCGCTATCACCGTGAACGTCGGCATCATAGCAAGCCTGTGCAACTGCCATAGCCATACTGTTCCCGGTCTATGGGGTAACCACCTCGTGCAAACCTAAGAGCCGTACCAGACTGCGCATTTTGCTGGGTGCCCGCTAGGAAGTTATTTCATCAAAAGTGCGCGCTTAAGCCTTTCTTCAACACACCTAGTATACGTTCGCATGCGGAGTGTTTTTAACCTGTAATAAACAGCACTAACGGACTAGGCAAATTAGGCGCTTTGCCACGAGCTAGCGCCTGTTACTTTCCGGGCGTCGCAGCCGAAGTTGGACTATCTGGGCCTGGACGGGAGCGTACAGCCTCTGTTATGGACGTGTCCTTTAAAATTAGCCGACGCAGGTGAATATTCATCTGTTGCAAACGGTAAATCGGCTTGCTCAAATGCAGAAACGGTCTAGAAAAAAATATACGTGGCGGCGCCGACAGTGCCTGAGCTACATAATTTTTTGACCCGCGCAGGGGGTTACTAATCCTGGGTTTTTCGTAAACAAATGTGGAACCCCTCCCTGAACCCTATGCAGACCGATTTATAGCAGACCGGACTGGGTCATTCTGATTCCTGGCTTGACGTCTCGCCGGAACCGGGACACAGGAGGCGTCACGGCTGCACTTGCAGCGGCATATTTTTGGACCGTTAATCAGTCCTCTACCATACGCCGCATCTCGGCCACGCTATTAATTAGTTTCGACAATTCATTTAGGATACAGAGGTCGCTCTCGAGTACATCGATTCCTCGCGCCTTAAGTTGTGTTTCATCAAACCTAGACCTGACCGCTGTGTGGACAAATTCCTAAAACTGGAGTCAATACAGACAGCGCCCGACATCCGAAAGCTGCATGGTAATGGCGTTCTAAACCAATAAATACTCACGATCCCTTGGATAAAGTATTACAGCCAGTTAGTCAGAAAATTAATAATCTTCAAATTGTCGACGTCGGCGACATGGGACAATACGTACGAGGTCTTCGAGAAAAGAGTTGTATCTAATCTTTTGGTAATCTGCTACCCTTCCCAATATCATTGTATCGGGTGAGATTATGAAGGACAATTGTGTACTCCGCGAGCTGGTGCCGTGTCGAACCTGTCGGGCCTTGCTTTTGTCCTCAAAAAGACCCTCGTTCCTAGCGATAGGCGCTCGACGAGGTGTAGACTCTGCCTCGATACTGTAGAGTTTGCTGGTAATTGGTATGATGTGGATTGCAAAGTCAATATATTCAGGCCCTTAGTTCACAGCTTATTCCTGCTACTCTAAGCCTAATGGATTCCCCGACTATGCAATAGTAATCGACATCACGCGTATTTCATTGAGAGATCTCATATGAGCAATCAGCTCTATACCATACTCATTATATTGTTGCGTTTCTGTAACCATGTTACTCACTTTACTCATGAGACGAGCGCATTACTGTCGCCAGATCGTACCATTAATTTGTCGCTTTCTAGCCGATGTGTTCCCACACAACACCCCCCCCCGCCTTGGCAGCACCTTGTATCCCAGATTGTTGCGAAGCTTGGTTAGTTGATGTGCGGGGATAGTATTGGTCATGATATCTGCCAGCATATATCATGTTGGACAGTACTTCAGTAATATGTGTCCGTTTGCAACCTTTTCTCTCATTAAGTAATAGCGTATGCCGATATTCTTACTGCGCTTGTGAAGCTCAGGGTTCTTTGCCAGTGCGATCGATCCTCGATTATCTTCGAAACCAAAATCGATTCTTCATGGACGGGTCAACTAAGATCGCTCACGAACGTATTCAACCACCCCGCTTCCTTGATTCCCATGGACGATGCCAAGAATTCTGCCTCTTTCGATATAAGTCCAACCGATCGTTGCTCCTGTGAGCGCCAACTTACGCAACCGCCGTTAAGCACGAAGCCGTAGCCATTTGTGCTGCAACGCGAAACGTGATCGCCGGCGTATCGAAATCTGAATAATTGTGTAGTCTGCAGTCTTGAGCACCATCGTCAAACAAACGTCTTAGTGTTGGGGCCGACTGTAAGTATCAAAACACGCGCTTCAGTGCTTGCCAGTGTGTCGGATATGGATTTGATGCAAACTGGCTGAGAACTCCCACTGCATTTGCGAGATAGGGTCGAGTCGCGACCATGCAATACATTAAGCACCCAACTGCTCGGCGGTATGGTACATTACAATTGACTCTTTTTGTTTGAATCCGCCGTCGAACAGCGACGTTGTTAAGTTAATACCTTTATCGTGCGGCGTCTTCAAAAGCTTACAGATTTGCATCCCAAACTTGGTCATATCTACTGCAGAAACTTTGACTGCCGAACATAGAATGTACCAGCATCGAAGTTGCGGTCAAAATCCATGCCCGAGGCAAACTTGAGCTCGCCCAAATCCGGCATTGAAACGCTTGTTAAGAGCTCCCTTGATCGTCAAAAGAAGTGCAACCTAGTTGCACGCAATGATATGGTCGTCGACGTAGGGCACGGCAAACAACAAGTTGCCTTCGATGCCTTCATTGACTTTGCACATGACGTATGCATAGTGGTAGGATTCGAATTTGTCGAAACTTAGACTGATCATGAAGCCATCGATTTTCTTGTTCCATATGCGCGATGACTGCTTCAATCCATATAGCGACTTCTTCAGCTTGCAGAAAAAGTCGGCCAAACATCTTGCATCGACATATTGGTGGGGCTGCTGCATGTAGATATCTACGCCCAAGTCGCTGTTGAGAAACGCGGTCTTGACTTCCATCTGGTGCACATGCATGTCTTACCTGGAGGTGAGTGCGATACAAAATGAATTGAGGTAAACTTCGCGACGGGCGCAAACTTTTCATCATAGTCGATGTCGTACTGATGTGCAAATACATTTGCCACAAGTTGTGCTTTGTGTCGTTCAAATTCTGCATGCTATTTTTCTTGACCTGACAACTTACTTGCAGCCAAACGATTTTGCGACAACGAGGCAATATCACGATGTCTTAAGCGTCGTTCTTCATCAGAGAGTCGTACTCCGAGTTGCACGCTTCATGTCACTTGCTCACTTCGTCGGATTCCAATGCAGACGCAAAAGTTGTCTGCAAGTCTCCCACTGATTGCACAAAGTGAGCAGATTGCGGTGCCGACGGAGCGCGAAACGACAACCTTCTAAAGTGTTATGCGGCAGACGATCATTTCGAACGCAGAATATTGGTAAACTGCTCGAGCGAATGTTATCGACTGTGACGTTTAAGGCCGCTGGTGTGGTCCGCGCCGCCTAGGAAACATCGTTGCCGTCAGCCAAAATGTCGATGCAGTCATAACAGGACTCCAACTCAATGTCGACGCCTGTGGTTATTCGATCCATGTCGACCGGTTCAGCGTTAACAATTCACCAACGACGCGCGGACCGTCGTAAAACACATTTTCGAGGAACTTGACGTCGTGGCTGACAAAGATGTGACCAGTTAAGATATCTTCGAATCGGTACGCTTTCTCGTGCTCAGAATAACCATCAAAACGGCACCGAACAGCTCTGGCATCGACCTTATGGTGTTTCGGGTTGGCACGTCAATGTACGCGTGGCAGTTAAAAAATCTTTGAGTTCGCAAGAAGCTGAGGCTTTTTACTCCAAATTTTGAGCAGAGACTTGTTTTGCGTGTTTGCACGACTTGGACAGCGACTGCACAAAATGTTTGCAGTCATCAAAGCTTCGCCCCATTACTTGGTCGACAACCTCGTTTGATCGAGCTATAAACCGCGCACACTTAACGAGTGTTCGATACATGCGTTCGGCAACTCGGTTAAGCTGAGGTGTTTACGGGGGGGGTAAATTTCCGAACGATTCCGTGGCTGGCGCAGAATTTTGACATTTTTGTCGTTTTGTACTCACTGTGTAACGGGGCACCCTGAAGCTTGTACTGATGACAGTACAAGCTACTTATTCTGATGACAGAATAAGGCGGTGCCTCGTGACTTCACGTACACTCGTACGTGCAGAGGAAGACGGTAAGAAGAAGCGAGTACTTGGTTAAAGTAAAAAGTAGAACTGTATTTATAATAGTTAATGTCTGCAATAAATCACTATTTATCTTCATCTAACTATGTCTAAATACAAATGTGTAAATCAGTTATCTGCTCACCACTCATTGCGTGCGTCTGTCGTGGCGCGTCTTCGTTGGTTGATATAATGGCCTATATCAACCAATTAGGAACTACTCGTAAGTGCATCAACCAATTAGGAACTACTCGTAAGTGCTACAGAATATTTGTCCTTATGACAATATTCTGAGAATATAACTCTTATAGTTATATTCTATTAACAATTTCCTTTAAATTGTTATGTAACGATTCACCCCGTTACATCACCCCCCCCTTAACCATCAGTCACTTTAGTGACTGATTGACTAAATGGATACTCGTCCCAAATCATTTGGGACAGGGTTTGCGCTTGTTGGTCCGAGTCCACTTTCCAACATTTCATCGCATGGTTAACAAGCCCATGCGATGCGCGAGCAAGGCCGCCGAGAGCGCGTCCGCACGTCTCTGTGCGGACGCCGAAGCAGAAACCACAGCAACTGATGTCTCATCGGTTGCTGAAGCGACTCAGCCTGTGTCACTTGGTGATGCAGGCGCTGGTCATGAAGACACTCATGTCTTCACAGAGTATGAGCTCGGTGTCTCATACTCTCCTGATACGGAAGACGGATCCGTATCGACGGAGATCGAATCTAAGCCGCCTGCCAAGCGTGGCATGGATGATGCTATGCGTCGTAGCATCTTTGGTTCATCTGATGAATCAGATGAACCATCGCCGAAGCGAAGGCGCTCGAGGTCGCGAGACTCGGGCGCTAACAGTGGTGTCGGTTCTCCTATTGACACCACTTCGCAACGAGGTGCCAGCATTCTGTCGGCACGTCGCAGGAAGGGCGGGACCGCAATGTGTTGCGTCTCGCTCCTGAAAAGAAGGCATGGATGCCTCCAAAATCTGTCATGGATCACTTGTCGGCGACGACGAGTGATCGTTATCGAACACGGTTGTTCGATTCGTCAAGGATCCATCACCTTGACCCCAGTATGAAAAACTATCGCGCTGAGAATGAGTTCTTCATCGATGCTTTCTTTAAACATCGATGGTACAGTGGGAATCACAAACGTGATGGCCCCTCACTGCTTCAAGCGTGGAACGCCTACATCCATAACCTCGAGGATGTAGGTCGTGACGCTTGGAACGACAAACTTATCAAAGCTCGTGATAAGTTTGAAAAGCGAACCCCGACAGGTGCACGCTACAAGCTGCATCGTCTGTCAAGGGAGAAAGGATTACCCTGCCTCTCTTGGGGAGACTCGTGCCCATGTTGTGTGAACAACTCTGCACGAGCACCTAAGGAGGCTTACCTCCTTATTAGCCCGTGGTGGCGCGTACGTATCTCTACTGAGATGTACGAAGGGATTGACAACCTGAAATCCCTTTACGACCGTGCCGGGAAGACTTTCTCCGGCGGTCCTTCTGCGGCACAGGATGTGCCGCGTCGTACTGCTCAACCAGACCCAGTACGTCACCCATCAGTTGGGAGCGGGGCTCCCAAGTATCCCAGGACGGGGGATAGCCGCGCCACCGGACGAGATAACTCGTCCGACGTCCGTTTACGTCGCGGTGGTTCAACAGCTGCTCAACTAGATAGCGCTGGCCACCGCGATAGTCCTCTAATGGAGGTGGAGGAGGAGGAAAGACGCTCTCCACACGATCGTCGGGATCCGTGTGTTCCTGAGAGCTTCTTCGATCGCGTAATGCAAGGGTTACGCGACGATCTCGAACATGAGCGGAACAGGCGTCTCCAAATGGCGGACACTGCCTTGAAGCATCGAGCTGAGTTTGCCTTTGCTCAGCTTGAGAACGAGAGATCTCTGACATCTCTTCGTGACGAGCTACGGGTAGCTCGTGGGATTGTTGATCGGTCTCGGGATGAGATAACTGCTCTTCAGACCCTTGTCGATGCCCACCATCGGGAGCACAAGGCTCTCTGCAAGATGTTTGAGCGCAAGGGCGTTCTTCATAGGAAGAAGCAGCGTACTGGTGGTACGGCTTAAGCCGACCAACGTAAAACGTGGGATGCGTTCGCATCTTACGTGGTAACTCGATCGTGTATGCATTGCCTAGGCGGTGCAATACACGAAATGGGCCAATGTACTTGGGTAGTAGTTTACTGCTACCCATGTTAGTCACTACATGCTTTGGTAGATTAACCGTAGACAGTAGGACTAAGTCACCCTTATTGAATAAAAGAGTGTTTGCCCTTCCATTCTTGTCTGCGTTTTGCTTTTGCTTATCCACCGCTTCGGCGATGGAATCTTGCACAAAACGGACTACCGTTTCACGAGCCAGTATGAACTCATCTGCTGGCTCGTTAGCTTCAGTGCGCTGTGAGTGCACTGCAGCAACATCAACCTTTTCTTCAGTGAGGGCTTCCGCACTCTCACTGGCATCATCTTCTTCGATATCGATGTTATCGATATCGGCATCAAACGCAATGACCTCTTCGTCAGAGCGTGATGAGCGTGAACCAAATCGTTTTTTGCTCGCGCGAGTCCCTTCCCCCCTTAAACCAGAGTCACACTCTAGTAAGGTGGGTACACGCGGATGGCGTAAGCCATTCACGTAAAACGGTGTATGTGTCGTGGACGCATGCACCGAGTTGTTAATGGCAAACTCTACCATTGGCAAGAACTCACTCCAACTCTTAAAGGAGTGTACGTATCCTCGAAGTATCTCTTCGAGGACACGATTGGCACGTTCCGTCTGACCATCTGACTCTGGATGATCAGATGTCGACATCTTCAAGCGCGTTCCGAGTGATTTGAACACGGAACGCCAGAAATCAGCAGTGAATCGTGGATCTCTGTCTGATACGAGTTCACGGGGCAACCCATGAAGTCGGAAGATGGTGTCAATAAAGACACAAGCACAGCCACTTGCTGTGATTGACTCTGGTACAGCCACAAGGTGTACCATTTTGCTGAATCTGTCAACAAAAACGAGAATACCCGTATTCCCGCGTGCGTCTTTGGGTAACCCGAAGACAAAATCCATTGAGATGGATTCCCAGCACTCAGCCGGAACCGGTAGAGGCTGTAAAGGTGCACGCAGTGAAGGACTTGACTTCACTCGTTGACAGACTTCGCATGCGCGAATGTACTTGCGCACAAACTGATACTGGCGGGGCCAGTAAAAGTCTCGACTCACCGTGAGATATGTTTTCTCCCGGCCACGATGTCCTCCTATAGGAGCATCGTGATACTCGAACATGATCCGCAAACGCAGATCAGTATCATCTGGAATGACAACACGTGGTGTGTCACCAGAAACGGCTGTATAATACAGTAACCCGTTGCGAGTAGTGTATCGATCTGATGCAGATCGATACGCAGACGACAATCGTTTCAACGATTCTCGAGATGGCTGTGAGAGATGTGTCAACAACTTCACAATCTCACCATCTTGGGCATATGCCCGCCTCACATCATCATACAACGTTGTAGATGGGACTGAGGACGTCATAACCGCAACAGTGACTGCCTCACTGTTGGGTTTCACGACTGTTTCAAAGTCGGGACGACGTGAGAGTGCATCAGCGACGACATTAAGTCGTCCTGGTTTGTACTCAACCGTAAAGTTGTATTCTGCAAAGAATGACAACCACCGCGCCATTCGTTGTGAAAGGTGCGGGCTGTTCACTGCCGTGCGTAATGACGCATGGTCGGTGTAAACAATGAAGGGTCTATCTCCTAATAGATAGACTCTGAACTTCGCGAGTGCATACTTCATGGCAAGGAGTTCCTTGTCATGCACTGGATAGTTCCGCTCAGCTGGTTGCAGCTGACGCGACTGATAGCAGACGACGCGTTCTACGCGTTCAAGGTCGTACTGCATTAATGCACAGCCGATTGCGAAATCGCTGGCATCACAGACCACATGAAATGGCCTGTCCTGATCGGCAATCGCTAGGACTGGGGATTGTATCAAGCTCTTCTTGATACCCTCAAAGGAGCGCTGACATTCAGCGTTCCATAACCACCTCTCGTTCTTTTTCAACAAACGAGAGAGGTGTAAAGTCATATCGGCGTAATTGTGTGAGTACTTGTGCAAATACGCCGCTAGCCCAAGGAATTTTCGAAGACCTTTGACATCGACTGGCACAGGCCATTCGGTGATCGCCTTGATCTTTTCGGGATCAGGATGTACACCGTTCTTACCAACGATGCACCCAAGAAGTGGTATCTCGCTTGCTGCAAATATACACTTCTTGAGGTTTGCATACAATTAATGCTTTCGCATGATTGTAGGAACCTGTCGGACGTGGTACCTGTGAACCTCAACGTCCGACTTTCCATCCATAGCCCGACTATGGATGAATACGTCATCGAAATAACTCGGCGCGAATTCTCGTACTGGTCTCAACAGATGTGATACACATCTGTTGAACGTGGCAGGGGCATTACTAAGCCCTTGTGGCATTACTAGCCATTCCCAGAGCATGCCTCTAGGCGTGCTAACTGCTGTATAGGGTATATCCCGTTCTCGCATAAGGATTTGATAGAAGCCATCCATCAAATCCATGGACGAAAAGATGGTACTCTTTGACATACCATCTATGATTACGTCCTTCCTCGGTATCGGCGTTTGTGCCGGTACCGTTGCAGCATTCAACTTGTTAAATGCATGCACTATCCGCCACCCTCCTGTTGCTTTTCGCACACAGAAGGTCGGAGAGCTATGTGGGGAAGTTGATTCCCTCACATGGCCCGCAGCTAAACGATCGGCAAAGAACTTGTCGATCGCAAGTACTTGTTCACGAGGCAGTGGCCACTGCTTCATGACACAGTACTTCGAGCCTGGTTTAAGCTCGACCTCGTGTCGAATACCTTTATCCTTCGGTGACTCGCACGGAACAGTTTCCGGGAATACATCTTTGAAATCAACCAAATCTTCATAGAGAGGATTTGTCTTGAGTGATTCCCACGATTGGGAGTCATATCGCTCAATTCGTGTCTTTTCATCCAGGACACTCTCGTCCATCGATGAGTTACTGAGAGCCCGTTCGTTCTCAGTAAACATTGTTGCTGACCTTATGTCGGCTATACACTCGTCGTCAGCGACGAGTACGCAGATCTGCTTGACTTTGCCACTACGCAGATCACGCAAGAACCTTTTATGCTCGAGCGTTGGCAACTGAGTGATCTCCGAAGTCAACTTCGGAGGCGCTATCGGATCAAGTGTATAAGCGCCTACACTTGATCCGTTATTGACTATGGCCTTCAATGTCTCTGTCATTTCCTGATGACTTATTCCCTCAGGCCTCGAAGGACTTATTCCTTCGGCTTCCCGGGGACTTATTCCCGCGGGTTTTGGGGAACTTGTTTCCGCCGTATTTGCAATATCGGGACTTATTCCCTTTACCTCCTCTAGCTGTGGTTGCGCAACCACAGCGAGATCCTCTACGACAGACTCTCCAGTCGATCTAGGATTATCGTTTTGCTTAACCTGAGCGATCGATTGTTTCTCTTCTAGATGTTCCCCGCTAGGGATACATCTTTGTCCCGGTCCACTCGACTTATTCGAGTGGTGGACCTTCGGCGCAGCCTGTGTTTCCTCACAGCCGCCGGAACTTTGCTCCGAAGTGTAACCGTTTGTTACACTAAGGTTTTGTGCAGTCATAATAACGACCGTACCACAAGTGAGGCCATCGCACTCACTCGTAGTACATCCACACGCTTGTGGACGCTCCAAAACGTTTATCAGATGGCCATCTGATGAACAAGCAGCAGGCATCGTTACTATTCGATGTTGCCAGTTTACCCGTGGTTCGTACCTTCTGAGCCACGGTATTCCAAGGATGACATCAAATTTGTCATCCAAATCCAATACGATAAAGTCATCGTCATATTGGGTATCTTCTAGCGTGTAGTGGATCTTCACTATACGCTTCATGACTGTTACGGATGCGCCTGTCGCAAGACGTACCGTCATCCTCGTAGGAGGTGTGTCACATTCACTGAACTTGAAGTGACCATCTTCTAGCGATTGGCGTCGCACAAAATTGTTGGACGCCCCACAATCGACTAGAGCTCGAAGGGACAACTTATTTGTCTCTTCGAGTTTCAAGGTAATGAGTGAGTCCTCATTACCTAGAGCAGCAACGCACAACGTTTGTGTGTTGGGAGAAACCTTCATCAAGAGGCCTACAAATTCTCTTGACGTTGCTGGACCAGTAGGGTGCTCCGCACCTACTGATCCTGTCCGTTTTTTGACGGTCCATCCCGTTGTTGCGTCTTTGGACCAACAGCGGACCCGCGTCCCTGCCCCTGTCTCATGGGTGGACGGTCACTATTCCCAGTGTTGCGAGACACTGGACGAGGGGCACTACACTCGTAAGCGTAGTGTCCTGTCTTTTGACATCTGTTGCATCTCTGCAACTTCTTGTAGTCTGTAGAGCGAGCCTTCTCGCTCTCTACATAACAGAGTTCCATCGGCTCTGGACCTCCGCTTTCATATCGTCTCGGTTGACGATATGATGTCGAGCTGGCGCGAGCCTGTCTCAGACTGAAGTCTTCCTGTTCCGCAATGGAAATGGCTTGTTCTAGTGAATCTAGTTCAAGCCGGAACAGGTGAGTCTTGACGGGACCATCCGCAAGACCCTGCATGAACACCGAAACCAACGTGTGTTCATCCACCGGATTGGAACTTATACAACTCGTGAGATGTCGTATATGTTGCGCGTAAGCGTGCACATCACGCTTACCCTGCTTGAGCTTCAAGAGTTCAGTTCGAGCTCTGAACTCAGCTCTAGGCGGTTCAAACGTTTGTCTGAGCCGCGACTTGAAGACTTCTAACGACCCAAACGCATATGGGTCGTGCAACTTGAGCCCCAGTGCCCAAGTCTTGGCACGTCCTGCCAGATTTGACTGGGCAAATGCAACTTGCATATCCCCGTCGTCGATGCGACGCGCCCTTATGGCGTCATCCAATTCGACGAACCATCTCAAGAGGGAGTCCTCTTCGACTCCCCTATACTTGGAGATGTCAATCTTCAAGGTCTCGGGTCGACGCGAGTGCATCGACCCACCAGCAGCAGCCTGCTGCTGTCTCAACAGTTCAAACTGTTGAGCACCCTGTTCTCTCAACAACTCTGCTTGTTGAGAACCTTGTTGGTGAAGCAAGGCTACTTTCTCGCGTTCAGCGTCAAGTTCATTTTGAATGAACTTGGCGATAGTAGCATGTTGGCCTTCTCTATCGAGAGCCTCCAGCATGACGCTAACAGCATGGATGTCCATGGTTGAACCCATCCGTTCAACCGCATCCCATTCGACATTGCTCAAATGGGAGTAGCCGTCACGCGTAGCGTGAAAGCTTTGGTCATCTTCATCATCCAACATATTCATGTTGGATGTGAACGCGGTCCTTGGACGGACTACGAAGTGCTACCAGGTGTAACGGGGCACCCTGAAGCTTGTACTGATGACAGTACAAGCTACTTATTCTGATGACAGAATAAGGCGGTGCCTCGTAACTTTACGTACACTCGTACGTGCAGAGGAAGACGATAAGAAGAAGCGAGTACTTGGTTAAAGTAAAAAGTAGAACTGTATTTATAATGGTTAATGTCTGCAATAAATCACTATTTATCTTCATCTAACTATGTCTAAATACAAATGTGTAAATCAACTATCTGCTCACCACTCATTGCGTGCGTCTGTCGTGGCGCGTCTTCGTTGGTTGATATAATGGCCTATATCAACCAATTAGGAACTACTCGTAAGTGCTGCAGAATATTTGTCCTTATGACAATATTCTGAGAATATAACTCTTATAGTTATATTCTATTAACAATTTCTTATAAATTGTTATGTAACGATTCACCCCGTTACACACCGCCGTTGCCGCTGCGCAAGAATTTGACGCTACGACCAGTTTGGTTCTTGGCTCACTTGGCGTAAAGCGCTAACTTGTCGACAACTTTGAGCTCGTTTTCTATCAAGTATACAACTGTGTGGCGAGATGTGTCGTTGACGAAATTCAAAAAGGAACCTCGTGCCGCTAATACTTGTTGTCTGCGCAGGACCGCAAAATTTGCTACGCACAACACCAAGGAGGCCAGTATAGCAGCGCGCAGTTGTTGAGTCTTAAATTTTTTATCGATTTTGTTTGCCGACAGCACATCCGTCGACAAGCACCCACTTGTTCACGAAAACAATGTCGATCCCGATTCCGAGATTGTTTTTGCGATCATGGCGAGTCCACCTTGGCCAATGTGGCCCAAGTTGACGATGTTATAGGTGTGACTTTGACTTTGTCGTCGAGTCGCTTGAAACACATACAGTCGCAGCCGCGAAAGGTTCAATAGCGATAGTCGGTGTCATGGCAAGCTAAAATATGACCGTTGCCTATACGCTGCCCGATGATCTAGTTATAGCCCTTCACCGTTGCAGCACATTTTGTGCTGCCGAAAGTGATCGGTCCGAAATCGTGAGCAAGCGAGCGAACGATTGGAGGTTGCGACTCAGCTTCGGCACATATCAAAAATTGGTGAGAATGCCCTTGCGCACACCGCGAGGCGTTTGTGTGTTCATCTCGATGTTGCCACACACGACCGCTTCGGCACTACCATCATCAGCCGGATAAAATTTGAACGAATCAATTGATCGAAAGTTGGTTAAACCGCTTCGAGTGTGTCATGCGCTGCGTTGAACCCGAGTCAAAATAGACAGATCTTGCGACTCTTGGCCCAATTTCGAATCGCTGTCGACTGCACCGACACGGGTCATGAACAGATCGTATCTGTCATCAGGCCCGTTAAAACGCGAGTTATCACGCGCAAGCCTCACCTGAGCGTTGCGCCGAATAAAGACATTTGTCTATATGCTACAGCTTGTTTTGATAAATCATCAAGGTTCTCGTTTTCGTATTCTTAAAGGCCGAATCATAATAATTTGCGATCCAATGGCCGTGTTCGCCGCAGTGTCTGCACGCGCCTTTAGCATTCGCCAAAAATTCTTGTTTCGCTTTACGTTTGTGCAGAACCCCTTTTTGGACGCAGACACGCCATCGTTCTTCTCCTTCCGTTTGAGGTCTTCGTGCATTCGACGGCTCGTAACTAGTTCCCGAGTGATCTCCTCCGAGCGCGACTCGAGCGCAGTTATCAGGAGCTGAAACGAGTCGTTGAGGCTTCTCAAGAGCGCGATGACAAGATCTTCGTCGCTGACCAGTGTGCCGACCGCGTCGAGCTGCTCCGCCCGTGTCCGCAACTTGTTGATGTGCTCCAGCACATCGCCCCCATCTTCCATGACTGTTGCAAATAGTCGACGACGCAAAAAGGAGAGCTTGTTCGCAAGACACTTCTTCTCGTAGTGCGTCACCAACGTCGTCTGTGCTTCGACAGCACCGAGTGTCAATCTCACCGGTGGAAGCTGCGAGTCTTTCATCACCAGACAGATGATCGCAAACGCCTTCCCCAACTTCTGCTTGTACGTCGCTTGGTCCTTGGACGTAAGACAGTGCTCTGCTCGACGTCGCCACTCGTCACGTCCCACAAGTCGCGGTCTTCTTGCACCATCTGCATCTTAAACTTCCACATGTAGAAGTTAGTGTCATCGACCTTGTCGATGCGGGCGGACGTCGTCGAGGCGTCCACGGCGGATGCGAGGGCTGCTGGTGCAGAGTCAGATGAGCTTGGGCTCATAACCTGTAGTGTCTTATGGTAATTGGTATGATGTGGATTGCAAAGTCAATATATTCAGGCCCTTAGTTCACAGCTTATTCCTGCTACTCTAAGCCTAATGGATTCCCCGACTATGCAATAGTAATCGACACCACGCGTATTTCATTGTGAGATCTCAAATGAGAAATCAGCTCTATACCATACTTATTGGTTAGTCGCGTATTGTAACGAGGTGAATCGTTACATAAAAATTTATAAGAAATTGTTAATAGAATATAACTATAAGAGTTATATTCTCAGAATATTGTCATAAGGACAAATATTCTGCAGCACTTACGAGTAGTTTCTAATTGGTTGATATAGGCGATTATATCAACCAACGAAGACGCGCCACGACAGACGCACGCAATGAGTGGTGAGCAGATAACTGATTTACACACTTGTATTTAGACATAGTTAAATGAAGATAAATAGTGATTTATTGCAGACATTAACTATGATAAATACAGTTCTACTTTTTACTTTAACCAAGTACTCGCTTCTTCTTATCGTCTTCCTCTGCACGTACGAGTGTACGTAAAGTTACGAGGCACCGCCTTATTCTGTCATCAGAATAAGTAGCTTGTACTGTCATCAGTACAAGCTTCAGGGTGCCCCGTTACACCTGGTAGCACTTCGTAGTCCGTCCAAGGACCACGTTCACATCCAACATGAATATGTTGGATGATGAAGATGACCAAAGCTTTCACGCTACGCGTGACGGCTACTCCCATTTGAGCAATGTCGAATGGGATGCGGTTGAACGGATGGGTTCAACCATGGGCATCCATGCTGTTAGCGTCATGCTGGAGGCTCTCAATAGAGATGCCCAACATGCTACTATCGCCAAGTTCATTCAAAATGAACTTGACGCTGAACGCGAGAAAGTAGCCTTGCTTCACCAACAAGGCTCTCAACAAACAGAGTTGTTGAGAGAACAGGGTGCTCAACAGTTTGAACTGTTGAGACAGCAGCAGGCTGCTGCTGGTGGGTCGATGCACTCGCGTCGACCCGAGACCTTGAAGATTGACATCTCCAAGTATAGAGGAATCGAAGAGGACTCCCTCTTGAGATGGTTCGTCGAATTTGATGACGCCATAAGGGCGCGTCGCATCGACGACGGGGATATGCAAGTTGCATTTTCCCAGTCAAATCTGGCAGGACGTGCCAAGACTTGGGCACTGGGGCTCAAGTTGCACGACCCATATGCGTTTGGGTCGTTAGAAGTCTTCAAGTCGCGGCTCAGACAAACGTTTGAACCGCCTAGAGCTGAGTTCAGAGCTCGAACTGAACTCTTGAAGCTCAAGCAGGGTAAGCGTGATGTGCACGCTTACGCGCAACATATACGACATCTCACGAGCTGTATAAGTTCCAATCCGGTGGATGAACACACGTTGGTTTCGGTGTTCATGCAGGGTCTTGCGGATGGTCCCGTCAAGACTCACCTGTTCCGGCTTGAACTAGATTCACTAGAACAAGCCATTTCCATTGCGGAACAGGAAGACTTCAGTCTGAGACAGGCTCGCGCCAGCTCGACATCATATCGTCAACCGAGACGATATGAAAGCGGAGGTCCAGAGCCGATGGAACTCTGTTATGTAGAGAGCGAGAAGGCTCGCTCTACAGACAACAAGAAGTTGCAGAGATGCAACAGATGTCAAAAGACAGGACACTACGCTTACGAGTGTAGTGCCCCTCGTCCAGTGTCTCGCAACACTGGGCGTAGTGACCGTCCACCCATTAGAAAGGGGCAGGGACGCGGGTCCGCTGTTGGTCCAAAGACGCAACAACGGGATGGACCGTCAAAAAACGGTCAGGATCAGTATGTGCGGAGCACCCTACTGGTCCAGCAACGTCAAGAGAATTTGTAGGCCTCTTGATGAAGGTTTCTCCCAACACACAAACGTTGTGCGTTGCTGCTCTAGGTAATGAGGACTCACTCATTACCTTGAAACTCGAAGAGACAAATAAGTTGTCCCTTCGAGCTCTAGTCGATTGTGGGGCGTCCAACAATTTTGTGCGACGCCAATCGCTAGAAGATGGTCACTTCAAGTTCAGTGAATGTGACACACCTCCTACGAGGATGACGGTACGTCTTGCGACAGGCGCATCCGTAACAGTCATGAAGCGTATAGTGAAGATTCACTACACGCTAGAAGATACCCAATATGACGATGACTTTATCGTATTGGATTTGGATGACAAATTTGATGTCATCCTTGGAATACCGTGGATCAGAAGGTACGAACCACGGGTAAACTGGCAACATCGAAAAGTAACGATGCCTGCTGCTTGTTCATCAGATGGCCATCTGATGAACGTTTTGGAGCGTCCACAAGCGTGTGGATGTACAACGAGTGAGTGCGATGGCCTCACTTGTGGTACGGTCGTTATTATGACTGCACAAAACCTTAGTGTAACAAACGGTTACACTTCGGAGCAAAGTTCCGGCGGCTGTGAGGAAACACAGGCTGCGCCGAAGGTCCACCACTCGAATAAGTCGAGTAGACCGGGACAAAGATGTATCCCTAGCGGGGAACATCTAGAAGAGAAACAATCGATCGCTCAGGTTAAGCAAAACGATAATCCTAGATCGACTGGAGAGTCTGTCGTAGAGGATCTCGCTGTGGTTGCGCAACCACAGCTAGAGGAGGTAAAGGGAATAAGTCCCGATATTGCAAATACGGCGGAAACAAGTTCCCCGTAACCCGCGGGAATAAGTCCCCGGGAAGCCGAAGGAATAAGTCCTTCGAGGCCTGAGGGAATAAGTCATCAGGAAATGACAGAGACATTGAAGGCCATAGTCAATAACGGATCAAGTGTAGGCGCTTATACACTTGATCTGATTGCGCCTCCGAAGTTGACTTCGGAGATCACTCAGTTGCCAACGCTCGAACATAAAAGGTTCTTGCGTGATCTGCGTAGTGGCAAAGTCAAGCAGATCTGCGTACTCGTCGCTGATGACGAGTGTGTAACCGACATAAGGTCAGCAACAATGTTTACTGAGAACGAGAGAGTTCTCAGTAGTTCATCTATGGACGAGAGTGTCCTGGATGAAAAGACACGAATTAAGTGATATGACTCCCAATCGTGGGAATCGCTCAAGACAAATCCTCTCTATGAAGATTTGGTTGAATTTAAGGATGTATTCCCTGAAACTGTTCCGTGCGAATTACCAAAGGATAAAGGTGTTCGACACGAGGTCGAGCTTAAACCAGGCTCGAAGTACTGTGTCATGAAGCAGTGGCCACTGCCTCGTGAACAAGTACTTGCGATCGACAAGTTCTTTGCCGATCGTTTAGCTGCGGGCCATGTGAGGGAATCAACTTCCCCACATAGCTCTCCAACCTTCTGTGTGCGAAAAGCAACAGGACGGTGGCGGATAGTGCATGCATTTAACAAGTTGAATGCTGCAACGGTACCGGCACAAACGCCGATACCGAGGAAGGACGTAATCATAGATGGTATGTCAAAGAGTACCATCTTTTCGTCCATGGATTTGATGGATGGCTTCTATCAAATCCTTATGCGAGAACGGGATATACCCTATACAGCAGTTAGCACGCCTAGCGGCATGCTCTGGGAATGGCTAGTAATGCCACAAGGGCTTAGTAATGCCCCTGCCACGTTCAACAGATGTGTATCACATCTGTTGAGACCAGTACGAGAATTCGCGCCGAGTTATTTCGATGACGTATTCATCCATAGTCGGGCTATGGATGGAAAGTCGGACGTTGAGGTTCACAGGTACCACGTCCGACAGGTTCTTACAATCATGCGAAAGCATCAATTGTATGCAAACCTCAAGAAGTGTATATTTGCAGCAAGCGAAATACCACTTCTTGGGTGCATCGTTGGTAAGAACGGTGTACGTCCTGATCCCGAAAAGATCAAGGCGATCACCGACTGGCCCGTGCCGGTCGATGTCAAAGGTCTTCGAAAATTCCTTGGGCTAGCGGCGTATTTGCATAAGTATTCACGCAATTACGCCGAGATGACTGTACACCTCTCTCGTTTGTTGAAAAAGAACGAGAGGTGGTTATGGAACGCTGAATGTCAACGCTCCTTTGAGGGTATCAAGCAGAGCTTGATACAATCCCCAGTCCTAGCAATAGCCGACCAGGACAGGCCATTTCATGTGGTCTGTGATGCCAGCGATTTCGCAATCGGCTGTGCATTAATGCAGTACGATCTTGAAGGCGTAGAACGCGTCGTCTGCTATCAGTCGCGTCAGCTGCAACCAGCTGAGCGGAACTATCCAGTGCATGACAAGGAACTCCTTGCCATGAAGTATGTACTCGCGAAGTTCAGAGTCTATCTATTAGGAGATAGACCCTTCATTGTTTACACCGACCATGCGTCATTACGCACGGCAGTGAACAGCCCGCACCTTTCACAACGAATGGCGCGGTGGTTGTCATTCTTTGCAGAATACAACTTTACGGTTGAGTACAAACCAGGACGACTTAATGTCGTCGCTGATGCACTCTCACGTCGTCCCGACTTTGAAACAGTCGTGAAACCCAACAGTGAGGCAGTCACTGTTGCGGTTATGACGTCCTCAGTCCCATCTACAACGTTGTATGATGATGTGAGGCGCGCATATGCCCAAGATGGTGAGATTGTGAAGTTGCTGACACATCTCTCACAGCCATCTTGAGAATCGTTGAAACGATTGTCGTCTGCGTATCGATCTGCATCAGATCGATACACTACTCGCAACGGGTTACTATATTATACAGCCGTTTCTGGTAACACCACGTGTTGTCATTCCAGATGATACTGATCTGCGTTTGCGGATCATGTTCGAGTATCACGATGCTTCTATAGGAGGACATCGTGGCCGGGAGAAAACATATCTCACGGTGAGTCGAGACTTTTACTGGCCCCGCCAGTATCAGTTTGTGCGCAAGTACATTCGCGCATGCGAAGTCTGTCAACGAGTGAAGTCAAGTCCTTCACTGCGTGCACCTTTACAGCCCCTACAGGTTCCGGCTGAGTGCTGGGAATCCATCTCAATGGATTTTGTCTTCGGGTTACGCAAAGACGCACGCGGGAATACGGGTATTCTCGTTTTTGTTGACAGATTCAGCAAAATGGTACACCTTGTGGCTGTACCAGAGTCAATCACAGCAAGTGGCTGTACTTGTGTCTTTATTGACACCATCTTCCGACTTCATGGGTTGCCCCGTGAACTCGTATCAGACAGAGATCCACGATTCACTGCTGATTTCTGGCGTTCCGTGTTCAAATCACTCGGAACGCTCTTGAAGATGTCGACATCTGATCATCCAGAGTCAGATGGTCAGACGGAACGTGCCAATCGTGTCCTCAAAGAGATACTTCGAGGATACGTACACTCCTTTAAGAATTGGAGTTAGTTCTTGCCAATGGTAGATTTTGCCATTAACAACTCGGTGCATGCGTCCACGACACATGCACTGTTTTACGTGAATGGCTTACGCCATCCGCGTGTACCCACCTTACTAGAGTGTGACTCTGGTTTAAGGGGGGAAGGGACTCGCGCGAGCAAAAAACGATTTGGTTCACGCTCATCACGCTCTGACGAAGAGGTCATTGCGTTTGATGCCGATATCGATAACATCGATATCGAAGAAGATGATGCCAGTGAGAGTGCGGAAGCCCTCACTGAAGAAAAGGTTGATGTTGCTGCAGTGCACTCACAGCGCACTGAAGCTAACGAGCCAGCAGATGAGTTCATACTGGCTCGTGAAACGGTAGTCCGTTTTGTGCAAGATTCCATCGCCGAAGCGGTGGATAAGCAAAAGCAAAACGCAGACAAGAATGGAAGGGCAAACACTCTTTTATTCAATAAGGGTGACTTAGTCCTACTGTCTACGGAAATATTCCACGACATGAAGTGACTAACTTGGGTAGCAGTAAACTACTACCCAAGTACATCGGCCCATTTCATGTATTGCACCGCCCAGGCAATGCTTACACGATCGAGTTACCACGTAAGATGCGAACGCATCCCACGTTTTACGTTGGTCGGCTTAAGCCATACCACCAGTACGCTGCTTCTTCCTATGAAGAACGCCCTTGCGCTCAAACATCTTGCAGAGAGCCTTGTGCTCCCGATGGTGGGCATCGACAAGGGTCTGAAGAGCAGTTATCTCATCCCGAGACCGATCAACAATCCCACGAGCTACCCTTAGCTCGTCACGAAGAGACGTCAGAGCTCTCTCGTTCTCAATCTGAGGAAAGGCAAACTCAGCTCGATACTTCGAGGCAGTGTCCGCCAGTTGGAGACGTCTGTCCCGCTCATGTTCGAGATCGCCGCGTAACCCTTGCGTTACGCGATCGAAGAAGCTCTCGGGAACACACGGATCCCGACGTTCGTGTGGAGAGCGTCTTTCCTCCTCCTCCACCTCCATTAGAGGACTCTTGCGGTGGCCAGCGCTATCTGGTTGAGCAGCTGTTGAACCACCGCGACGTGAACGGACGTCGGACGAGTTATCTCGTCCGGTGGCGCGGCTATCCCCCGTCCTGGGATACTTGGGAGCCCCGCTCCCAACTGATGGTTGGCGTACTGGGTCTGGTTGAGCAGTACGATGCGGCACATCCTGTACCGCAGAAGGACCGCCGGAGAAAGTCTTCCCGGCACGGTCGTAAAGGGATTTCAGGTTGTCAATCCCTTCGTACATCTCAGTAGAGATACGTACGCGCCACCACAAGCTAACAAGGAGGTAAGCCTCCTTAGGTGCTCGTGCAGAGTTGTTCACATAACATGGGCACGAGTCTCCCCAAGAGAGGCAGGGTAATCCTTTCTCCCTTGACAGACGATGCAGCTTGTAGAGTGCACCTGTCGGGGTTCGCTTTTCAAACTTATCACGAGCTTTGATAAGTT